GGTTGCTCAACAGGCATGGTAGGTTCATCCCTATTCAACATCTGCCTCATTTATTCCCTTTGTTCTGCTAACATCGCTCGAATCATGGCTTGTACTCCAGCCATGGTGATTGGTTCGAGTGCAACTTCTACTACAACAGGTATTTGCTGAATCACTGGGGGTTGATTCCTATTCCCATTCGCATTCCCAGCTCCACTGCGGGTTCTTTCCATTTTGATCTATACACCGAATAAGGTGAATTTAGATCTTTATTCAGGATAGACGTTTAAATCATCCTTATCTCTCCGAAACGTTTACATGCTAGTTCTAATATCGTAGTTGTACGTTTAGAATCCTAAACATATAAGGTTTCCAGATCCGGTCGGCAACAGACCATAGATCTGAATAAATAACAACATATAAGGCACAAAGCATTTAGCACATAAAAGCATTTTAGGCATAATTCCTAAAATAAGCTAGTGCTCACACCTCACAATCATCGCTTAGCATTCTAAGTTTAAGTCTAGAAATCCTACAAATTCCTAGTTCGCTTAAACTAATTCTCTGATACCAACTGTGACATCCCCATTTTCACGGCCAGAAAAGACCGATTTTGTTTATGCTTGTTTGAAAATCAGAGTAACATTTTACATAAAAGTGTTGCGGAATTTGTCCCAAAATAAAATATGATAAAGATTTATCAAAAGCATTTCCAAGGAAATGTATTTCATTAAAAGACTCGGGATGTCATGTTCGATACAGATCAAAAGCATAAACAGTACAATATAAGCCTTACTACATTATTTCATATCTACAGGCCTATATCCGTAATCCCTCATCCAAAACATCACATCTATGATCGAGCGCCACTACCTGTAATACATGAAACTGAGTGGGTCAAGCTTCGGAGCCTGGTAAGTACATAGGGTTTTCAACCCACAATAAATAGGTTTATTAATTTCATCAACCAACAATAACCCGATTACCCGTTCCCGTTATCCTCACTTTACGTCCCTAAACACCTATCATAAGGGACCTATCCTAAGGATCATCATCGGGATGGACACTACTGCTAAGAGGGGGTTCCTCAACAATAAATGTCCTAAAGGCAACCATGAGGGGGATGGAGTACACCGGTGAACACATCGTTCACAAACACCTACAGGTTGCGAGCCTGCTAGCGTTCCACTGGACTGTCTGGAAGAGTCCGTGGTCGTCATCCATACTCCGCTAGATGACAGAATCAACAACAACAACATCGAGGCCTCTCATCATTTTATCACACATCATCTATTACATCTACCCATGTTTTACCCCAACATTTTTGTAGATATAAAATACATATACAGTTTAAATCATTTAAAACATGTATAAAAATCTTTCATCGGCATAGACAGCAAGTATTCAGACAATATGCACACATAGCACGTAGTTTATATTAAATACTTCATATCTATGTGTAAGATGAAAGTAACTATGCACTCACCTGATAAGGTGGTGATTCTGAATTCGGACAGTGCTTCGTTACTTCTTAAAACAATTTCCCTCGACAAAACCTAATATCAATATCACTAGGGTTTAGTTTAACGTTAACCGCGACTAATTAATAGTCTAGCTATTATTATTATTATTATTATATAAGCGTTAAATAACATCCAATATAACTCATAATAATAGCCCAAATAATTATTTTAGGGTCCTAATAACATTACTATATTAAAACATAAGCTATACTGAAGATAGGTAGGTATAGCTCACTTACAGCGGGTTTTTCGCAAAACCGGGCTTCGCTGGAGCAGCGTTCCCGAGCCGAAAGGCTCTTTTCTCGGGACTTCGGGAGCCTCGGGGCTTCCTTCGGATGCTAGGGTGTTTACCTAGACTTTAGGGGGGCTTAGGGACCTTAGAGAGAGAGTGTAGAGAGAGAAAGAGAAGTTGGAAGGTGTGAGAAATGAGGGTGCCCCGGCTCCCTTTTTATAGGCTGGAAATGCCAAAAACTCGTCGAGTTGGCCTCCAAATCGTCGAGTTCCAGGCCAAGTGTCACCATCTGGTGGCTAGCCTTGGGGAGGAAGCAATGGCCAGGATTGCGCCACGTCACCCGATTTCGCACAGCAGCCTCCCCGACTTAGAAAAATCATAACTCTCGCATACGAGCTCCGATTTTGACGTTCTTTTTTTCCACGAGTAGGTAAAAACAAGATCTACAACTTTCATTTAGACACCATCGGCTAATTCTCGACCGATCTTAAATTTAACAGTAGGAGGAGATTATGCTGTTAAATGACCGCGAAGAATTCGTAACTCCTTCATACGGACTCCGTTTTCGTCTGTCTTTTTACCGTTGAGTTCCTATTAATGAGATCTTCAACTCTCATTTAGGTCGCGTAAGCCAAAAACCGTTCGAACTAAAATTCGAGTTTCGGGCCGTGCACTGCTATGTCAAATCTTAGAAAATTCATAACTTCCTCATACGAAGTCAGATTTGGGCATTCTTTTTGATGGACGCTCTCGGTTTAACGTATACTACAACTTTGGTTTAGATTACTAAGGCCAAAAAGTCTTCTATCGTAAATTCACTATTTTACGCTTCCGGTGCTGTGCCGGTTCCATCGCGAAACTTCGACGGGTCATAACTTCTTTGTTATAACTCGGATTTCGGCATTCTTTATATCCCCGGAATCCTTGTTTCGACCATTACAACTTTATGTAAAGATATCGGGCTTATCTCACACTTTAATTTTGACGCTTATTTTTATCCTTTATTTATTTTAAATTTATAAATAAGTAATAAGCATATAAATGCACATAATTCACATAATACTCAAATATTTCATATTTATTACATCAAAAGAGTTACAATAGTTGACCTAGACTATTACATCGTCTAAAAACGCTTAGCCCCGAAACCCGAGCGTTACAAAAGAAGCAATGGAAGAGTGAATTTAATATGGAATCAGTGTTTCTAGAAACCATGAGAGAAGCATTGGATAGAAAAGAGGAGTGAGAAACGCAGGTGGGGAAGAGAAAGAGATAAAGACGTATCAAAGGACAGTGTGTATAGGTGTTGGGTTCACTGAGGAAATAACACCTATAAATCAAGCCGATGATAGTGCCATTTAGCAGCCAAAGAAAGAAATCAGCCACCATCAACCAGCCGCTGACCCATCGCCTCCAAACCAGCCAGCCAAAAAAGAGCTGGTTTGCCTAGGCTCTGAGACTGACCAGGAAAGACGAATATGTAATATTAATAAAGAGCTGGACCAATTGTGATATAGAGAAAATATCTGGACCAAATATGTCAAAAAACCAACAGGTTTACTGTTCCTTTTCTTCAGAACTTTAATATATATATATATATATATATATATATATATATATATATGCTTAAATATGCTTCCTACACATATTACATATTCATTATAACATCTTATTACACAAACGACATATATAATTTTTATACATACAATACACATATACAAAACTAATACACATCCCATTATAACATGCTACTTTGTTTTTTCCATTTTCTTCATTATAGCATTTGTAGCTTCCATCAACAAACTACATACATTATTCTTACTATGTTTTTTCCAACATATTACACATATACATGCACACATACAAATATATATATATATATATATATATATATATATATATATATATATACAAAAGATACACATATATGCATCATACACATAAAAATAAACATCATGCATACACAAAATCAAAAAAATTATACATATATAAAACAAAAAAAAAACCTTTTCTTTGGTGGCTCAATTTCCGACGAAAAGTGGTGGTGGCGGTGGGGATCTTCAAATTCAGTCGCAACGATTTCTCACGAAAAATGAAAATGGGACGCACACTGAACTGGGACAAAACGAAGGGGGTATAATCTGCAACGAGTATTAGCATCGACATATACTAATTGCGGCGACGAAAGGATTAATAGCGGCGGCATGTGCTGGAGAGAATCTTTGGCGGTAATTTTTTGAGTATTAGCGGCCACGTTGTCGCCGGTAAAGGCGTTGCTACTAAAGTTATTAAACGAAATGGATTTCTTGGCGTTGGATTAGGACTAAATCAACGGCTATCAATTCGCCTCGTCATTTGACACAGATCGATGATGTATGCCCATTAGCGGCAACAAACAACACGAAACTTAATTGTCACAGCTAAAGGTGTGCGTTATCGCTAATGCTCACATTTCTTGTAGTGATATATATATATAATATATATATATATATATTATATATATATATATATATATAATATATAATATATAAAAAGGTTCTAAATAACGTAAGTCGTGACTTGGCGGCAATGTCAAGCGTCAAGTTTTTCTAAGTTTTGGCGAGCCACGTCGTTTTTAAAACGGCAATTTTGTATATAATTAATATTTTTATATGTATTTTCAATTATTATTCATTTTTAATCACATGCATAAGTTAAGACGTACGGTATTTTGGTAAAGGTTGGCGGCAGGTACAAGTCTTAGAGCCATGACGAGCTTTTTTAAACCTTGTGTTTAACTCTATAATATGGAAATGCATTATACTTCTTCGGTAAAAAAACTATCACGATGTACAGAGTAGGTCACGTAAGATATTCTTTAAGATGATGTGCCGAGGAACTCATCCCTGAGATATCATTTCTTAAGACTGGTGAGAAGGTAGTGACGTGAGTTGGTTACTTTAATAACATAGTATTATTTTAATATAAATACATTACAAACCTTTTAGCATCATATGTGATTTCTGCATGTAACTTCTTTTACACATGTGTACCATGACCGGCGAGGAAGTCATTAAAATTAATTATCAAGATAAACTAAAATTTACATAATTTTGATTACTCAATTACTATTGTTATTTCTGAATATTATTATGTTAAATCAGAGTTGCGTTTTCCACATAAAAAATGTGTTCTGGATAGGTCATTAGTTAAATGCCACAGAATGTAAAAGACAAAAATGATAAGAGTATATAAACACATAGGCAACCCATATTTTACATGAATTATATAGATATTTTTCATAAATTTCCTTAAATTTTGTGGCCTACGAATTTCCATAGTTCCGAGCTCGTTCACGGAGTTCGACTAACCATGGATTCAGACGAGGTTGGTTACCATATATTGATGTTTCAATTTAACATGATTCTTTCTCAAATTTTACGAAATCATTTGACAATACCGAGTTGGTATTATGCAGGATAATGTCGAGCAAGGATCCACAGAGTTAAAATACCTAGAGTTTCTGAACAAGATTGTCGCGTTATTTCTGGCATTACTGTCGAATGTGTACACTTTCATAAAAGAACACATTGGCATCTCTGAAAAAACCATTGCTTCTGTAGAAAGCACCGTAGGTTCTGCTGTCGGGCCGCTGTTCAACAAACTCACGGATTTTCTTCAAAGTATTCTTGTGTTTGCTGATGACAAGGTAGAGAGAGAGAGAGAGAGAGAGAGAGAGAGAGAGAGAGAGAGAGAGAGAGAGAGAGAGAGAGAGAGAGAGAGAGAGAGAGAGAGAGAGAGAGAGTTGAACTATTTAGGTCATTATAGTTTTAAGTGATGTTTTTTTTCCAGATAAACCCTGCATGTTAAAAAAATCAAAACTAATTTATAATATATAAATGTAATTTTGCTTTGACAGATTGACGAGTATGCTCCATCTTCATTGAAGAGCCTTCTTGGCAATTTGCATTCTCATATCTCCAATCCAACAGACACCGCCAACGCCGCAATAACAAAAACCAAGTCCTTTTTGGGTGGTATCCCAATCTTGGGGAATGTAGTGGGCGGTGTAACAGACTCGATCTCCAATACAACCGACGCAGCTCATCAATTGATCGATAAAACAACTTCTTTAGTCACCGATAATCCTCTATCCCAAGCTCTCAACACGGCGGCTGGCAAAATGATGCAGGAAGCTCAATCAGCAGGGAAAAAAGCAGCATTGAAATCAGTTTATGCATCGTTGACCCTTCTTGCCGTACCATTAATCGCCGAGGTTTGGTATAAAGCCAACACCAAAGAATGGTTTAGAAGACTGGCAAAACTGATTCTCCCACTGATCGAGAAGTTGTGCAACGCGTACAATAATTTAGTCGAGAAGATGGTAGACAAGGGTTATAGCTTTTTCGATTATCTACCCACGATACCAATCAAAGAGATGGAGGCCGCCTACAAGTTGGTGAAGACAAAGAACGATAGTTTAGCAGCGGTTGCCGGTGGTATAGAGGATGCTGGCGAAATGGCTTCCAACATCATGGGAAATATCCCACTCGTGGGAGGTATAGCAAGCTCGATCACCGAGACAGCAGACCATATGATCGATAACACAGCTTCTTTGGTGATGGACAACCCTCTATCACAAGCTGTAGAATCAGCAGCCGATAATATGATACAGGGAACTGAAGAATTCGCTACAAAAGCAGCGTTGCATTCTGTGTACTCGGCGTTAACCCTTCTCATTTGTCCGGCGATCGCTGAGATTTGTTATAAACTCAGTCGATACAAACTCATTAAGGCATTGGGAAAAGCGATTCTCCCACTGATCGAGAAGTTATGTGAGTGGTACAATCAAAAGTTGAAAGATTTGGATGAACAGGGTTATAGCTTTTTTGGTTATTTGCCCATCATACCCATTGAGGAGATGAAGGTTGCATACATGTTGGTGAAGACCGCTAATGCTGGATTAGAGACTGTTGGCAGTGGTTTATCAGCTGTTGGCGATGTAGTCGGGTTGAACGATGATGAAGATTAATTAATACTCGGTTATCTGCATATATAAATGATGGGTTATCATGTTATTTGTACCCTACTACAATGTGAAGTTCTATCTATATATGTAATATATTATATATGTAATAGGACCCTTTAAAAAAGATTACGGCTGCAGCAGATTAGATGCCCAAACCAATTTAATCGATTTGTTTGGCTTATATACGATGCCGATTGCCGAATACATGGTAGCTGTATCTTACGTACCATACGAATTAGAGTAAGGAAGCTAAATAAAAGATATTTGCATTGTTGGGAGATATCTAAAGCTAAATAAAAGATATTTGCATTGTTAGTGAGATATTTAATTTCTCATCTAAACATATTTCTTATTATTTTCTATGCCCAATCTTTATATATAGCAATCAATACTATTATTTATACCCATAATGATAATGATAAATGATAAATGATCGATGCACTCAAATTAATTCCGGCAGGAAACAAAAGTAATATATACTATGGTCCTGACATTAAAATTCAAAGACCCTTATGAATAGTTACATTTTATCATTTCGGACATTGGTCATAATAGTTCGAGGGGTTGGCAAGTTTAGTTCTTTAAAGTTGGCTGGTCAATTACCGGATGCGTATCTTAGACACGTGTTATTCTTCCTAATGTTGCCATGAAGCGTTCCTTCTTTGAATTATCGTCTTCTTCGAATTATCGTCTTCTTCAAAGAACTCCGAAAAGCTGATGTAGCAACGTTGACTTCCTCGATTTTGGTTTGATCCTTCTCTATTCGACTAGGGCTTCAATTTCCGACAAACCACCACACAAAAGCCAGAAGATCCTTTCGATTCTCCGCAACATGAACTCGATTTCAGGTTGGCGATTAGGGTGTATAAATCAATCACTAAATTGATATATTTTTGAATTAGAAACAAAATCATTTTTGGGTTGCTCTCATACCTAGTAACTGAATAAAATGACTTTTAGAGAGAAATGTTGATTTGTTAATTTATTATATAATTAATAAACTAATTAGAAATTGAAATAAATAATTTATTAATATATTATATGATTAATGTAACGTCTCATTTTCACAACCAAAACTTTTCGTTTTATTTAAGTAGAGCTCCCCATTTATAAATCCATTTTGAATAAAATTGTTTATTCCAAATACATTTATTAAAATCAGAGTAATATTAAAGCGCAAAATCTTCATTGTTGCTAATGAATGTGTACAGTCACACTTTCGTTTTCCCATGACGACTGATGATACCTGAAACAATAAACAACTGAGTAAGCACAAAGCTGAGCGAGTTTCACCCAAAATACCCATACGATAAACATACAAGCATGCATCGGGTCCACTTAGCCATCTGGTTGGAATACTCAAGGTTTGTTGGCCTACCGCCTCAACCCAACTGCTCTTCCCGAGCCTCCGTGCCTACGGCTTACAGTCGGCCCACACCGGGTATCTTGGCATAGAGTACAAAGCAGGATCGCCTCAACCCACTACCACCATATGTCGACATATAAACAATGAAGGATCAAACAGACACATAATACAGGCAAACAAGAAGCATACAACTCACTACCGCCTACTAGTCCTCACACCGCACACTATCTCAATACCAACTAACCTCCATGAAGTACAATCCCTAGGGCACTCCACTAGATGATAACCAACAAGTGTAACACCGTAAATTTTCAAACAAATTTTTCATTTTAAAATCACATGATTCTTATAACACATTTCACAAAAATCCCAATTATTTAATTAACAAAACGCAACTCCATAATTGTTTGATTAATAATCCAGGATCCTCAAAACATAACTCTTTCTCTTGTGTGTACAATCAAGCCGGCGCCTTCCCGCGATCCTGAGAAGAACCTGAAACACATATCACACATAACACGGTAAGCACGAAGCTTAGTGAGTTCCCTAAAATACCACATATACAAATAATAAGCCTCTCATGGATATAACTCGGCATGGACCCTCCGGTCTCATGTGTCTCGGTGTGGACTCTCCTGTCATGTGTCTCAGTGAGGACCCTCCGGTCTCACAGCTCGGTTTGGACCCTCCGGTCCTGTCTCAGTGGAAACCCTCTGGTCCCACAACTCGGGTTGGACCCTCCGGTCCGATCTCAGTAAAACGTAAAATATAGCATATATATCACATAACTCAAATAAGCACAAAAGACCCTTCGGTCACACATAGATACCACTCATGGTAAGTATAGTGAGAAGACTCACCTCGGATGATGAACAACTCCTATAATCGTTTTTGTTGCGCACCGACCTCTATCTCTGAGCCAAACCCACAATTAACCCAATTAGGATCTAAGTTGAAACTCTCACTCATTAGGTCTAAAGGTAGTCCACTAACCAGCCCAACCATAACCCAAAACCCATTGGGCCCACCAAGGCCCAATAATAAATGGGCTCTCCCGAGGCCCAACTCTCAAGTCTAAATGGCAAGCCCAACACAAGGGCCCAAGGCACATATATATGATATTTCTCTGATCAAAATCTCTAGTACACAAGCCCAAAAATCCAGGCCCAACCCTTAAGGCCCAATATAAGATTTAGCCCAAAACACCCACAGCGAGGTTACGCGGGGCGTACCTCCCTTGGTACGCTCAGCGTACACAAGCATGCACGAAGCCTGATCAGGGACACCTACCCAGTACGCGGGGCGTACTAGGAATACGCTCGGCGTACGTCCAGTATGGCTTTTCTCACTCTCTTGGTCTTAACCCGTTAAGACCTTTGCTCATATCACAGATCTGGATTCCCTAGAGGCTCTTACTCCATAAAGTATGTGACTTTAAGCCTTTGCATGGCTGATAAAGTCCCAAACACCCAAAACTCACACTCTCTTATCTCAAAATGATCATATCTCATGCATGGGTTGATTCAAACGTCCAAGTCTCGATTTTTATAACTCTACACCATTTAAGATACTCAAAGGAGTTGATAATAAACTCTGGAGCACAATATCTCATAAAGTCTCCAACTTTGGGACTAAAACCCTAAAATTCACTAAAATGATGCACAAACCAAAAGAGGGAGAAAGCTTTGAGCTTTATACCTCAACATGAAGCTTCAAACTCAGATAAGCTCATATCCAAAGCCTAGAATCCCACTCCTTCTTCTTCAAGGCTCTTTCTTCACTCCAAAGAAATACAAGATCACTCAATACCTCACAAATGGACACACAAGCTCAATGGATGAGTATTTAGGGTTTGAGAGGGTTGATTGTCTGAGGATGGTGGCCAGGAATGAGGCCATCTTATTATTTATGTAGGGACACCTCCTCATTTAGTGTTTTCACTTTGTGCCTAGTACGCCTAGCGTGTCCTCTGGTACACCCAGCGTACTAGGTCACCCTGCTTCAAATTCACGCACATGAGTACGCAAAGCGTACACACACGTACGCCCAACGTACTCAACTGCCACCTTTCTCAAATAAGGGACTTATCTTGCCAAAACTCCAAACTGTCATAACTTCCTCGTTATATTTCCGTTTCCAATGAACCTCAAATCCACGGAAAGGTGACGAGAAGCCCTACGCTTCCAGCAACTCGTCGCAGCCCTGAGGCTTCTCATGCCCGGCTTGCAGCCCACGAACCCTAAATCATGGACGATCCGAAACAGGATGTTATAATTCTCCCCCACTTGAATTAGATTTCGCCCTCGAAATCGCTCCTTATCAACACATAGATCGAACCCAATAACCCCATAAATACCACCGATAGGACCTCATATCATCCAACAATCTCCCCCAAAGACACTTGAACCCAAACATAAACTCTCAATCCCGAAAAAGGACAGACTCATCTGCTGCTGCGGTTCTCATTCTGTCTCTCCAGAACTTGAAAACTTTAGTGGTCTGTCTCCCTGCCAGACCGTCCTCGCAAGATATCATCATGTTAATCGCTCATTGAATAACAGACTCTAAGAACACTCTACCATTTCTGATTCTCTAATCGATCCCAGTCGTAACTCAAAAGGAATGGAAGGGTCATATCCCACCAAGGACCCACAACCTAAATAGCTATCATAACTCTTCTGAAGGAATGATCCTCAAAATTTGTCCCCAAACACAAGAAAATGATCATGTCAACTCGGAGCGATCCTCTAACACACATAATCATAAGCCCCAGTTCCTCTCAAATGTTCCTTCCGACACTGAACACCAGGTCAACTCCCGACCCCAACAGTTGGACCTCGAAGGCTACTCGTTTCCCATCCAACAGTCAACTTTATAATTCCTTTTTGCAATAGCTTTCGCAGCCCATCATGTGACCCGCGAAGTCACGAAGTTCGCATTACCTCAAACGAACTCTACAATCCCCTTCAGAAGTCGCCTCACCTCCGACCCGTGTCGTCTACTACTCGCTAGTTCCAAGCATCTCGTGGTCCTTCTCAAACCAACGAACTGGCCCACTCAAGTCTAAAATAGCAGATGAAAACACATCCCTCTCAGAATGAGATCCACCCGAATTTCCAACTTGCTCGTCCTCTACAAAGATAGAGCCAAACTCACCCATCAGAGTCTGGTCCGACACATAATTGGAACCACTCGTTCCAATCTAGCGCTCAACTCATGACCCATGTTCCACGATTATACGTATGAATTACACCTCGATCCGTCTGATTCGCGACAATCCCTCTCTAACTCAAAACATAAGGGGTTCTAACCACTGCCGAGACCCAGTCTCGCCCTTGGTTCGGCCACCAGGCCCTCACAGACTCCTCTGGTATGGCTACCCAGGCCTAAGAGCCCCTCTGCACCAACCCTGACTAGTAAGGTTGCGGCTCTCGCAGTTATACAACACTCTCTCACTGACTAACAAGTGTTACGGCTCCCCGCAGTCGTACGATACTCTCTCTCTCTCTCTCTCTCTCTCTCTCTCTGACTCACGTATGTTACGGATCCCTGCGATCATACGACTCTCTCTCTGACTCATGTATGTTACGGTTCCCCGTAATCATACGATACTCTCTCTCTGACTCATGTATGCTACGGCTCCCCGTAATCATACGACTCTCTCTCACTCTCCATGGGCTCTCTCCACGGTCTTCCCTGACAGTCCTAAGTGATTACTCCCACTCGGATCTGTTCCCTCTTTTATCACCCCACATTCTCATCCTCCAGTCGTCACCCCACTGAGTCCACTAGCTCATGCTTTGTGGTCCAACCATAGATAGGTACACACACCTACCCAGATTAAGCATCTCTACTTCTGACGACAATTGCCGCAACAAGACACTTTCTCCTGCTACAATTCACATTTGGATAGTCCCGTCCTATGACAATTAGTTGAAGGGTTCCCACTGGAACAATAGTGAAGGGCTTTGAGAA